TCGAGGTAGGATCTTCTTGTCATGCCACTTCTTCGTCTCTTTGTACGAACTCGCACTCTCGTACGCAGATAGTCTGAATCCGTCGAGCTCATCCAGTTGAAGCAATTTTTTCTCAACTGCTGTCTTGGAGTCGAAGTTCAGGTACTTGATTGCCCACAGTGCTTTATGCTCCAATTCTACCGATAAGTGACAAGCTTTCCCGAACAGTAATTGGAAAGGGGACATACCTATTGGTGTCTTGAAGGCAGTCCGGTATGCCCACAGTGCATCATCAAGCTTCTTGGACTAATATTTTCTGGAGCTTCCCACTGTTTTCTCCAAGATACGTTTAAGCTATCGGTTGGAAATCTCCACTTGACCACTTGTTTTCGGATGATATGGTGTTGCAATCTTATGCTTCACGCCGCATTTAGCCAGTACGTATTCCACTTGTCTGTTGTCGAAATGAGTTCCTCCGTCACTTATGATCGCTCGTGGTACTCCATATCGAACGAATATGTTTCTTTTCAAGAATGCAATGACCACCCGAGCATCATCAGTAGGAAGGGCAACAACTTCAACCCATTTGGAGACGTAATCAATCGCAACCAAGATGTATTTGTTGCCATAAGAAGGCGGGAAGGGTCCCATGAAGTCCATTCCCCACACATCAAAGATCTCAACCTTCAATATGTTGTTGAGGGACATTTCATGTCTTATGGAGATGTTCCCCATTCGCTGACATCTATCACATGATTCAACGAACTTCCTTGCATCTTTGTAAAGTGTTGGCCAATAGAAACCACTCATCAGCACCTTTGCAGCCGTTCTTTCTCCTGCGAAGTGTCCACCGTAGCTGGAACCATGATAGTGCCACAGGACGTCCTTCATTTCTTCTTCTGGAATACATCGCCTTATTACGCCATCAGCACATCTGTAGAAAAGGAAGGGCTCATCCCATAAGTATTTCTTGACATCATGTAAGAACTTCTTTCTTTGTTGCCATGTGAAGTCTACTTGAATTTCTCCTGCTGCTATGAAGTTTGCAAAGTCTGCAAACCAAGGAGGTTTACTTGTGGTCTTTACTTCCTTCGGTTGCGGATCCGAGATGACATTGATAGCCATGATTTGCTCATCCGGAAATTCCTCTTTGATCTTCAGCTCAGGTCCGTCTTGAAGATCTTTTTCTTGAATTCTGGAGAGGTGATCAGCTACCAAGTTTTCTACACCTTTCTTGTCTCTGATTTCCACTTCAAATTCTTGAAGGAGCAGCATCCACCTCAGTAGTTGTGGCTTTGCATCCTGCTTATTCAACAAATATTTTAAAGCAGCATGATTAGTGTATACAATTACTTTAGACCCCAGCAAATACGATCTAAATTTATCAAATGCATAGACAACTGCTAGTAACTCTTTTTCAGTGGTTGCATAATTATTTTGTGCATCATTCAGAATTTTAATAGCAAAATAAATCACATGCAACAATTTATTCTTTCTTTGTCCTAAAACAGCCCCTATGGCATAATCACTAGCATCACACATTAATTCAAAAGGGAGTGTGAAATCAGGTGCAGTGGTCAATTGATCTTTTAAAATATTAAATGCTACCAAACATTCGTCTGTGAAGTTGAATTCCTTATCTTTGACCAACAGCTTGCATAGTGGTTTTGCTATCTTGGAAAAGTCTTTGATAAAGCGTCTGTAGAAACCTGCATGACCAAGAAAACTTCGAATACCTTTAACGTTAGAGGGAGGGGGAAGTTTCTCAATAACAAATATCTTAGCTCTATCTACTTCTATACCAGCTTGGGACACTTTATGTTCTAAAACTATGCCATCTTTTACCATAAAGTGGCATTTTCCCAATTTAAAACAAGATTACTCTCTTGACATCTTTGTAAAATAGTAGATAAATTTTCTAAACAGACGTCAAAAGAGGGACAAAAAATAGAAAAGTCATCCATGAAGATTTCAATAGATTTCTCAATCATATCAGAAAAGATAGAAAGCATACACCTTTGGAAAGTTGCAGGAGCATTGCACAAGTCGAAGGGCATCCTCCAAGAAGCAGTGAATGCTGTCTTTTCTTGATCTTCTGGAGCTATTACTATTTGGTTGTAGCCTGAGTACCCATCCAAGAAGCAGTAGAAGGCATGGCCAGCTAGTCATTCCAACATCTGGTCCAAGAAAGGAAGTGGGAAGTGGTCCTTCCGAGTGGCTGTATTAAGTCTTTCTAGTCAACACACATCCTCCACCCGGTGACTGTCCTTGTTGGAATCAACTCGTTGTTCTCATTTCTCACCACAGTGACTCCACCTTTCTTGGGTACCATTTGTACAGGACTTACCTATGCACTATCAGATATAGGGTAGATCATACCTGTATCCAACATTTTTACTACTTCCTTCCTAACCACTTCTTTCATGGTTGGATTGAGTCTCCTTTGTGGCTACCTCACAGGTTTAATATCATCTTCCATTAGAATTTTATGAGTACAAAAGGAAGGATTTATACCTTTTAGGTCGGAGAAGGACCATCCTATGGCAACTTTGTGTTTCTTCAGCACCTTGAGAAGCTTCTCTTCTTCAGCGGTTGTTATCTCAACATTGATGATGACTGGATATGTGTTGTTGTTACCCAGGAAGGCATATTTTAAATTTGGGGGTAACTCCTTAAGCTCAACCTTTGGTGCTCCAAGAGGGATGTCATATTTCTTTCTTTCAAGTTCTTCTACCACTGGTTCTTTATTATTTATTTCAACTTCTTCGTTGGTTTGTTCTAACTCAAGCGGGGAACTCTCCTCTTTCATAGCATCATCAATTGCTTCTTGTATTATGTCTATCATAAAACAGTCTTCTCCGTCTGTTGGATGTTTCATTGATTCGAAGACGTCAATGGTGACTGTTTCTTCGTTCACCCTCAATATCAGTTTTCCTTGCTCCACATCAATCATTGTCCTTGCGGTGGCTAAGAATGGCCTTCCAAGTAATAGGCGAATTTCGATGTCTTCTTCCATATTCTGAACTACAAAATCTGCAGGGAAGATAAATTTGTCAATTTTAACTAAAACATCCTCAATTACCCCATCTGGTCGTCTGATCGATCTGTCAGCTAACTGGAGAGAAACTGTAGTCGGCTTGAGCTCTTTGATTCCAAGAGCTCTGCACATGGACAGTGGTATCAAGTTGATACTTGTTCCCAGATCACATAATACTTTTCCAACTTCAATGTTTCCTATTTCAATAGGAATACTGAAGCTGCTCGGATCCTTCAGCTTGGGAGGAAGTTTCTTCTGGATGATTGCACTGTACTCCTCTGTCAAGGCCACTGTTTCGCATTCCTTCAACTTGCGTTTCTTTGATAGAAGGTCTTTCATGAACTTCACATAGTTTGACATGCTTTCTAGGGCTTCTGCGAAAGGTATGTTGACTTGCAGCTTCTTGAAGATGTCCAGAAATTTGGTGTATTGTTGTTTTTGGACTTCTTGTTTCAACCGCTGAGGGTATGGAACTTTTGCATAAGGAGACGGATCTGCTGCTTTTGGTTGTCTATCCAAAGCTTTCTTTTTCTCCCATTTGAACAGCTTCCTCTCTGGAATGCTCTTCTCTGCTTCTACTTCATCTTCTTCTTTCTCTTTCTCAGCTTCAGGTTCGGCTTCAGGTTTAGCTTCTTTCTTCTTTTCAACTTGTGGTTTTTCCACAGGCTGAATCACGATCCCACTTCTTGTGACAATTGCATTACATTGTGCCTTTGGGTTCGTGTCGGTGTTGCTTGGAAAAGTGCCCTGGGTTCTTTTAGTGAACTGCCTTGACAGCTGACCAATTTGAGTCTCTAAGTTCTGGATTGAAGCTTCTTGATTCCGGAAGGAAGCTCTTGTTTCATCTCTGAAGGCATCTGCATTTTGAATGTAGTCGGATGTTGTTTTAAATAGCTATGCAAAAGCCTTCTCCCATTTTGATGTGGTGCCTTGAGGTTGTTGTTGCAATGGCATAGGAGGATTCAGCTGGTAGTTTGACTTGTAACTCAACCCCGGGTGTTGATTATTATTCTTCCACCCTTGATTACCATATTGATTCCTTCCTAGATTGTTCGAGTTCTTTTGATCATACTAGAGTCCATTGACCTCCGCTGGTGGCTTTTCCGTGTTTATGATGTATTCACAATCCTCAGTTGCATGAGCCTCTTGACAAATATCACATTTAATGTTAGCATTAGAAACAGAAGAAACTTGAGAAATATTAAATTTCTTATTAAGGACATCTAATTATTCTTGTTGTTTCTTGTGCATTTGTAGCATTTGTTCATTTTGGGCTAAGAGTGCATCATAGCCTTCAAGCTTCATGATCCCTGATCTTCTTGGTGCAACTGGAGCAGGAGCATTGTCAAATTCTTGAGATGCTAGTGATTCCAACAATTCGAGTGCTTCCTCAGGAGTTTTTGTTTTCAATGAGCCTCCTGAAGCGGCATTTACCAATGTTCTTGTGTTGGCTGTCATCCCTTGGAAAAAGATTTTTTCCTTCTCCTATGCTTCAATTCCGTGTTGAGGACACTTCTGGAGTAATCCTTTGAATCGTGTCCAACCCTCGTTCAAAGATTCGCTTTGTTTGTTCAAAAGCTGTGATCTCTGCCTTGAGCCTAGCCATCTTTGAAGCTGAGAAAAATCTGGCCAAGAATTTCGCGGCTAAGTCATCCCAACTGGTTATGCTTTCTTCAGGTTGAGACTGCAACCAATCTCTTGCTTCATCTTTCAGTGAGCATGGGAATATCCTGAGCAATATAGCATCACGAGAAACTCCATTTACTTTTAATGTATCACAGTAAAGCAAAAAGTCATCAAGATGACAATAGGGGTTCTCTGTGCTTCCTCCAGCGAACTATTCTTTTTGAATCTGTTGCAGTAATGCTGGCTTCAGTTCAAAGTTGTTAGCCTTTATGTTGGGTCTAACAATGCTTGCTGTCTGTGGAGCTCGAGCTAGGGTCATGTAATCCCCCAATGTCCTTCGAACAATTTGATTGTTGTTTTCTGCCATTGGTTCTTCCTTAGGTTCCTCTTTTGGTTTTTCCTTTGTTTTCGTAGAAGTTGATCTGTTTTTGTTTCTTTCGCTTTCTTTGCTTTTGCGTCTTTCCTAAGTTTCCTCTATGTCTTTTCTATCTAAGGATCAAACTGCAAGAGTCGCGGGTTAGAAGTACCTCGCATAAACTAAGATTTGCAGAAAAGAATGCAGAAAATTAAATATGCAGAAAAAATATGCAGAATTTTTGTATGCAGAAAATGTTTTTATGGTATGCTTGAAGTGCAGAAAAAATAAACGTCCAATCTAAAATTTAATTAGTTACTTCTAATGTTGAAGAATTCGATCCCCGACAACAGCGCCAAAAACTTGTTGCGACTCGACAAGTGCACCGATCGTGAAAGTAATAAAGTGTACCGGAGTACGAGATCGTTCCCACGAGGATCAGAAATTCAAGCACTAGTTCGCTAATTGCGTTTTAGTTGGACAATCAAAGGTTTGGTTTGAGAGAATTGAGATGAAGAGAATTGTGGTTCAAAGAACTTAAAATTAAAAACAAGTAAAACCATGCAATATAAAAATTCAGAATTAAAAGGATGAATGAAGATGATGTTTGATTAAGATTTAAAACAAGCGTAGTTAAGGTTTCGACTTCCCCAATATCCTCAATATGTTATGAATTAAATGACCAAGAATCTGTTTCTTAATATATTGCCAATCAATTCTATCTGAGTTAATTACGGCTCAATTCCTTGTTACCATAAATATATGTAATCTTGAAAGAACTCTAGTTCCCCGATTATTCCCCAAGAAAACATGCATTAAGATCAAGAATTTCAAGATTGCATAATTACCCTATGTCTATACCTAGATCACAAGGATTATGATAAATTATTAAGTCAAGGTTCATGCACCAACATCCCTATTGTCATACAATTCCCCAAAATCGTTCTATAAGGAACAAACTCATAGAAGGCATTAAAAATAGATAATTTATTCAATTATAAAAAGAACAGGATTCAGAGACAATTTAATTCATAAACATAAAGATTTAATTGGGTTCCATCTACCCTTAACTACATAAAAGACTACTCTAGCATACTGAATTGAAAAGAAATAATAAAGAAAAGAGAACCCCAAGCCTCCATTGGTGTGATGTTAACTTGGTTCCTCAGTGTTCCAGCGCTCCGCAACAGGATTCCTCCTTGGAGTATGAATGAGGATGAATGAATTTCTGAATTGGTGAATGAGTGAGTTGGTCTGCTCCCAAGCTTCTTATTTATAACCATAGGAGTTGTATCCATTATTAAATCTCCCAATGAATCCATATCAGATTTGTATTTGATTTCATCTTTGTTTCCTTTTTGCATGTAATATCTTGGAGATTTGTTTGATGAATTAGAGCTTCAAATCTTTGTTGTATCTTCATCACATCTTCCCATTGGATTTATATCTTATTTCAAATCAAGGTTGAGGTGTTTCCTCCTTGTATCTATATGGAATCTGTTGCATATCTTGATTAAATCTTTCCTGGAGTTGGCTTGACCGTGTATGGACGTTTTAGCGTGCTGTAGCGCGCTAAAACGTTCTTGATGTGTATTCTTTTCTGCCTTCACACGTTTTGGCGTCCATTAGCACGCCAAAACGTGCTCTTCGAATGGTTTTGGTTGTTTTCAGGACGTTTTGGCGTGCTGTTGTGCGCCAAAACGTTCTCCTCCACAAGGGAATGGTGTTTTTCTTCATTTTCTGCGTTTAAACATGCTTCATGGACGCCAAAACGTCCTCCTTCAGCTGGTACACACTTGAAATCTTGCTTTCTTGTGACTTCAACTCACCTTGATGTCTTCCTTTTGTTCCAAAATTCCATAATATGTGTCAAAAACCCTTGTAAATTAGCATTACGAGAACATGTTAGCAAGATATTCAATTACTGTAACATTACAGCATAAAACCCTAATTTCCATGCAATTCATAAGATATAACAATCAAAATTAGGCCAAAAAACATGGTAAACCAAGGGTTTATCACTGGCCCTTCATCTCGTTTGCCTAAGAGGTGTTCATCCACCACTCATGTGCATCTCCCTCAAGCATGTAGGTAGATAATAGTAACTTCTATGGATCAGTACACTACATCACCCTAAAAATCTTATCTAGGGCCTTCAACCATTTGGCTGCGACAATCGGGTTATACGATACGTCAAAGGATGATGGCTTATGCTTGCGTAAAGCATTCAGCCGACGATCTCTCGTCTCCTGGTCCTAAATAGGTTCGTAGTATGGCTGCATCATGCCAGTAAGATGACTAACACCTTCCAAGTTACTCTGACCCATATTTCCTGAAAATGGTTTCATCCACTCCTATTCCCATCTTGATGATGAGGAGAAGGTGGTGGCGGTGGCAGTGGTAAACGATACTGGCCATTATTGCGAGCAGTCCTCATCTCCTCCAATATGACCCTCATTATAGTTGTAACACCCCGTGTGCACCTAGTGTATTAGACATACATATCGTAATAGCGCAGTTAAATAATTGCAGAAGCTAACTTTTCTTTCCAATTATGATATCATTATTTATTAACCAAGTGGATTACTTATTCCTTTTTAAAATATTGCTTGTATGTAAATTGCAATAATATCTAAACTGAAAATCCTCATATCATAAATATTATCTAGTCACGCAATTACACCACGTAGACCGGACCATGTTCTGATGCATAAGTATAACTCAAGTCTGAAATAACATAACTGATATCAATGTGGCATGGACAACCCCCATGCTCACCAAATAAGGAAACATAGCCAAACAATGTCTCAAATCAAACGACAATATGCTAATAGCAAAGCATAATCTATATCTAGGTGTATCAGTAAAGCAACATGCATAATCAACTCAACTCTAGCTTCCTGCCACCAGAGGTCTCAACCTCAGAGGTACCTGTAACTGAAAATGTGCCCCAACACGGGGTGAGATCTCTAAAAAGAAATCTTACTAAGAAATGGGTCCTCAAGGATCTCTCCACCCCAAGCTCACTTACACGTGCAATATAAGTTCCAAAACATAATAGCAATATAATTTCATAATTTGAGCAATGCATCATATATCCATGTCATGTGTGTATATACATCCTACTGGCCAAAGAATAAAAGATAGGAATTACATACATCTACAGCCTACAGTACTCCTGTACCTCACCCACGGAGTTACCGTCTTGTATGTCTCCATATACTCAGGGATTACCGTCTAGGTGAAAATACCCCACATACATATCATATGGAAATTCACTCATAAAACAACTCAAAAGCATGTCAATATTCATCATATATTTTCATAAAACACAGCATGCATATAAATCATCCCTCCTTGAGGTATGGTGGAACCAAAAATGGGCAAAATCGAGGACATGAAAGCTTACCTCGCAAGCTAACAATCACAACAACGAGTCCCCACTGGTCCACGGTCACCAAACAGTGCAATCACAATATGTTTAGACCCTAAACCTTATCAACATACAAACAGAAGTGTAGATTGGGTTTCTGGACCCATGATTGGTTAATATGAATCCCTATAATAAGTAACTAAGTCAGAATATCTTAGATTAAAGGCTTACGGCTTTGGAAGAAGCATAAGGGCATGAAACGAAAAAGGAAACGTTGTCGTAATGTAATGAACTTCTAGATTATGTATGTTGATAATGTTTCTGGTCTAAACAAATTGTGATTGCACTGTTTGGTGACCATGGACTTGTGAGGACTCTGTATTGGTATTGTTAGCTTGCGAGGTAAGCTTTTGTGTCCTCGGTTTTGTCCATTGTTGGTTCCACCATACCTCATGGAGGGATGGTTTATATGCATGCTGTGTTTTATGAAAATATGCGATGAATATTGACATGCTTTTGAGCTATTTTATGAGTGCATTTCCATATGATATGTATGTGGGATATTTCCACCTAGACGGTAATCCCTGAGTATGTGGAGACATACAAGATGGTAACTCCGTGGGTGAGGTACAAGAGTACTGTAGGTTGTAGATGTATGTAATCCCTACCATTTATTCTCTGGCCAGTAGAATGTATATACACACATAACATGGATATATGTTGTATTGCACAATTTATGGAATCATATTGCTATTATGTTTTGAAACTTATTTTGCACATGTAAGTGAGCTTGGGGTGGAGAGATCCTTGAGGACCCCTTGTCTTACTGAGATTTCTTTTTAGATATCTCACCCCGTTGTGGGGCACATTTTCAGGTATAGGTACCTTTGAGGTTGAGACCTCTGGTGGCAGGAGTCCAGAATTGAGTTGATTATGCATGCTGCTTTACTAATACGCCTGGATATAGATTATGCTTTACTGTTAGCGTATTGTTGTTTGATTTGAGACATTATTTGGCTATGTTGCCTTATTTGGTGAGCATGGGGGTTATCCATGCCACATTGATATCAGTTATGTTATTTTAGACTTGAGTTGTACTTATGC